AAATTTCCGGGTATAAATTTCAAACGGTCTAGTAGTACTCCTTTGTTTATTCATAGTCGATAGCCGTATAGCTATTAAATTAAATTTATTTTTTGTTTTCTTTTTAATGTTTTATAATGTTATATTAATTAGCAATTTCAATATTTCTCTTTGAACCATAGTTGTCATGTAGATTTAAGATGGTAATTTTTAGTACTATGAAAAGTTTGAAACTTTCAGTTAATTAATACGATTTCGAAGGTGTCAAAAGACACTCTTCGAAGTTTTAATTTAAAATGATTTTCTCGGTTTAACAATTTGTCCTCAATTGAATTTTGGTCGTTTCCTGTAGTCAATTTTATAATCGTTATTGGAAAAGTCGAAAAGTCAATTCAGAATATACGGCTGAACTCGGAAGATAATTTTAAGATAAAATTTCAGAAGCTGCCATTTGACATCTTCAGGTGATATAGCGTTAATATCTAGCAAATTACTCAGTAACTATCGGTATATAATGTATTAACATTGAGTATATTAGCAATTATCTATTAATATTATCAAGAACTGCTTTCTATCTCCATCGCATCTTAACGCTAAACATACCCATCCCGGTCAAATGACCGAAACTAGCAAATAAAAACATGCACCTACAGTTTCGCGTTAGAAACAGATGAAAGCATATAATCTTTCTCTTCTTATCTAACACTTATTTTGTGCATTGATTCCGCATTAAATCAATAGTCACCTACGATCCTTTTGCAAAACCGTAATCGGTGGTTAAAGTGCCGGTACGTTTAGTGTTAATAATCACAATTAAATGAATTTAGATACTAAAACGAGGAAGAAATTTCAATTACCTACAGTTCCTTCTATACACCCAAGTGAACGTTCGCTTTCACCTACTCCAGTATCCCGAAAACAGCTTTCCCTTCTTTCCCGTTGCACTTTCCGGGTCACTCGGACGCCGATATTCAATCCGAGATCGCGCGTGTCAGTGTACGATGCGATAAAAAGGGGAGCAAAACCAAGTAAATTCGGACGTCCGAGCGCCGAAGGATTAACACGGTACGGCTGTTGCGACAGATACCCTTGTTCCTCGGGGATGAAAGCAACGGGAACGATTTTCGATACTCGATCCGGTCGCACGCGACTCGAGCCGAACCGAGTCGAGTCGAGACGAGGCGAAGCGACGGGCTCGTTTTCAAAGTGATTCGTTATCACGCGATTAGCAGGAGCACGCGAGCTTAATTTAAGCTAAGCCGTAGTAAAAGTTAGTCCCACGGCTAATGAAGACCGATTGCCACGGACAGAAACTGGGGCGTGAGCTTTTATCGTCCCTCTAATTGGATTAGAGAAAATAATTCCCCGGTTCCGTAGCATTGCTCGCGATAACGCGTCTCACAGAAGCGTATGCTAATTTTTGCTAATGGACTCGCGGCCGTCCTCGCTTCTAAATCAGCGCTTCTTTAATTCAGTATCCGGCGACGACCTATCCACCGTGTCCGGTGACTTGGCCGGTCGTTCCACGGGAGACCGCACGCGATTCCATTCGGCAAACAGTTGAACGGTTCCACCCTTGTGCCACCGTCACGGCGAAATGATCAGTTGGACGTCGAACAGCGCGGATGAAGGCGGGCCAGCCTCTAATGGAAACGTTTGATGGGGCAAGCGAATGGGGGCAGTTGCGGATCGAACAGCTCATTAGGTGGCAATGATTAGATTTGGAATTGAATAACTGGGTGGAGGCTGATCTTGGTTTCGATGAATAATGTAGTGTTCCAGTTCGATTGGAATCATGAATTTCTATGTTTTTTATTGGTTTCGCCGGGCCGGGGGTAGTTTTGGCCCGATTAAATCATTGGCAGCAGTAATTGGATTTGGAATTGAATAAGTGGTTCGGAAATGGTTTTGGTTTAGATAAGTAATAGGTATATTATTGGAGTTTGGTTATAAGAAGAATTTTATACTTCTGTATTGGTTCTTTTTAGTGAGCGAAGATGTGTATTATTCGATTAATTAGATGATTTTTTTGTTAGACGATTAGTGGCATTGTATGAAGCTCCTTGCGTGGTTAGGCGAACAAAACAAGTTCTGTATGTAATCACACAAACAGAACTTTGCCTGGTAATTAGATGAGTAGAACTATCCCGTTATGTAGCCAGGCAAGTAGAATAAGTTCATTATGTGATCAGACAAGTAGAACAGTTTCGGGGTGTATTCGATCGCGTAGAATAAGTTCGTTTCATGGTCAGATAAGTTAGAGTCAGAGGTGATCCTAATCACGTTATGGGAACGAGACTAACAATCATTAATCAAATAAGACAGACTTTCGTTGAATCGTTACAGTTATCATTCCTAATTATAATGAAATGTTGACAGTTAAAAAGAAATTATATTATATTATGTTAATACGATATTAAATTAAAATAAATTATATTTTTCGTAATTATTATATTTTACCTGCACGACAATGAAATATTACAGGTTGAAAGAAGACGATTTCTATAAAAGAAAGAAATATCCAATGATCATTACAAAACCAGTCCAACAATATTCTACCTCCATCGGAACATGTAAAATGGAATCTATTCACAGTCACAAAAGTGGAGCAAAGCATGTCACTGATCCGACAATAATAGATGAATGAGTTCCTCGTAAGGGGATCAATACCGCGGTGCCTAGTCCGCGATCAATCATGTTACCTATGATCAGTTCTTAATGAAACAAGTAGAGTAACTTCATCGATGATCAGCCAAGACACATTGCCTTCTAAAAATTACTCGGTACAAACTCAAAGTTCAATTTCAGTCTGTGCCAAGATTATTTTTTAGGAGCCACAGAATTCGTTCGAACGGTACAATAGGAAACTTTGATTAATGTCAGAGTTTCGTTATTCCTTAAGCTCACTGTCCAAACGGTTCTCAAATGTCACAATGTCATTTGCGCTCGCAACTTGGAAAGATCAGCCGACCATGCTACTCCGGCAAAGCGAATATATTTCACGCAACGCGGGACATACTCCGCTGCTAAACACAGAAACAATTATATCGCGTAACTCCGAACAAGGGCCAATTACTATGTACCATCAACCCCCACCATCCGCATCCTCAGTGAAACGAAGAGTCGCTTAACAAATTACATCCCGCTGCAATCGAGATGTACGGGGTGTTTAAATTTATTTCCGTCGAGAGGCATCAGCGTGTTCTATAATTGATAATAAAAGAGGAAAGTGTTACATAAACATAGTGCTACACACTAAAATATACAATAAAAACGTTATATAAGCAGAGCGTTATATAACGAAGCATAAAAATGTTATATAAACGTAGCGTTATATAATGAAGATAATATAAAATAAAAATATTCTACAAACATAGTTTTATATGGTAAAACTATTATTTAAGAAAAACGTTGCACAAACGAATTTGCAAATAACTGGTTTCTCATTTTTAAGATCAATATATTTCTTACCAAAGTACAATGACATATTCGTAGAGCGATCGCTGATGGAAAATAACTTCTCTAACACTATGAGATATTACCGTTTAGGAAATCAAGTGAAAAACCAATTGTTTATCAGTTTCGTACTTTCATTTTTGTAAACGAGCACCTACGAGCCTTAGTTTATATATCGTTTTCCCCCATTATTAATCATAGAACATGCTGCTCCGTTTGGCGGAGACAAATTGAAACACCCTGTATACCCGAAGTGCCGCGAGGGGGAATAAATTTCACGCGGATACGTCCATTCGCGATAATAAATCAGCCCCGGAACGAGCGTACAATCTCGGGCTGGGACTCGCGACAAAATAACGAACGATGGTAGGGGAATATTACGGGGTCGGAAGGAAGGGTCGGGAAAAGGTCGGCCGCGCCGGGAGCGCCGCCGAATCCTTTTCACCGGAACCGCCGCGTTTAACGCGACTATTTATTCTCCCGGCCGTCGACGGATTTCTTTCTCCCCCCTCCCTCTCTACCCCTTTCATGCTTCTCGCTTTTAACCCATTGCATTATAACATCGAGTCAGATCCGCGACAGAGTTTTTAAATTGCATTTAACCCTTTGAGTGCCATTTGTAAATTGAATAGAAATGGGAAACGTAATATCATAATGTATAATCCGAAGCACAGATAAAGAGGGGACAACAGAAAACATGAAAAATTCCGTTGATGATTACATTTGTTGCTGTTAAACATAAAAGGTCACTGGGAGCGATGCTGGCTCTTTCTCGACAAATTTTCCGCGTTGACGACGTTGGCAGGGTAAGGGTTAATATTACAGCTACGAGTCGAAATGAGCTATACCTGTCTTCTTTTTGTAATTATTGACAATTTAATTATTATCACTCAATCTTTCTGTAGTAAAGATAAAGAGGAAGAATTATTAGTTATCAGAACTTAGTTATCAGAGAATCACAATTCTTCCATTGCATTATTATCTAGTTATCTAGGCTACTCGACATTTTTATTCGACACCAGTTATCTTACAAGTTATAATTATTTTCTTCTAATTCGGGAGCCCCGGTGACTGCCGTGGTAGTCAATGTGTTAAATACAATGAACAAGAAAGCTTCTTCGCGTTTCCTTGTTCCCCGTCAATAATGACCTCGGTCAGGTGAACAATGTCAGGAAAGAAATCGCGCGACGGGTTAAAAACCTCACTGTGGATTGAAAAGGGGGTCTGGTCCGTGAACAGGGAATGCGAGATGGAATTCCAGGCACGACCAGCGTCGTCTCGCGAAAACCGGGCTGCGCCGCGGTGACTCGGCGCTGCACGTAATTTCATAAAGTAGTTAGTCTCAACGGTTGTCGCGACAGTGTATTTTCTCGACGGCGATCGACCGGCTTGTTTTCCTTTTTAAGCGACTTCCTTCCTTTCATCCGGCCGGCCGAAGCATGGCGAGCGAGTAAACTGCTCGCGGAACACGGCTCGAAAATGCAAATGCAATTTTAGCCTCTGCGACAAACTGCGACAGGTTCGAACGATTCTTCACTGATCCTGTTCTGTTGGCCTTGTTGCAGGTTTTTTCTCGTGAATTGGCAGCGGAGATGGTAGACCTTTGAAAGATTTCGAGGAAGAAAAGGAACAGGGGTTGGAAAGGTTGTTGTACAAATGGTGAGTCGAGAGTTTCGTTTTGGTTGGAATGAATTGAAGTTAGAGGTTAAATTGTAAGGTGATTGTTGTAATTAAAATATAGTGTAATTTTGAGTTGGAATTATAACTGATAATTGTAAGTTGGAATCATACAGTCGGTTATAATTAGTAATTGTAAATTGCGATTGCAAGTTAAATAATAAGACTTTGAATTTCGGAGAAAGTTTTTGGGAGCGATTTCTGTGGCGATGTTGTATTATTAATGGAATTAAATTGGGAAAGGAATAAGGATGCTTATCTTTCCGTATGGACATTTTTTGAATTTGTTTTGCAGGAGGTATACGAAGAAAATGCTTTATAATGTCGAATTTTGAATGATCGCGTTCCGTTAGTGTTAATTATAGAAAGTCGTAGGAAAGTTTCGTTCGTTTAAGAACAGTCTCCAGCACTCGGCGGATTCTTATAATTTAACGAGGCTGCTTGAGAATTTATTCCGTGAACTTCGAGTAATCCTATGCTGAACAATGCAGGAGCAATTAAGTTGCGACACCCTGTATTGTTTACTACCTTGATAACGACTTGCTAAATGTTCCGACGTTTTTATTGTTACCAATAAAAAGCTACCCCTCCGCTGAAAGCTCGAAGCTAGAGGTTGGCAGTTAATTTATAATGGGGCCATGAATTCTTACGGTCCTCGCGATCCTCCCGTAAACCTCGTATCGCTGTCTTAAAAATTACGAAACGCTTTAACGTGTCCTCCCGAAGAGGCTCGTAAACTTCACTCCATAAAGTTTTCTTTATTGCCAAATTTAATTAGATATCGACATCGCGACAAATACGACGCTTTAGGCTAACAATCGTAAATACATTCAGAAATAAATTGTTTCTCGGTGGGTAGTAAAGTGCCTCGGATCTGGAATGGGATCTAACAAGTTCATTTAGTTCTTGTTAAGATTCAACGGACCCAATTAGGGCCAGATTCGTATCTAACACGGACATAACTTCTATCTAGTTATTCTAAGCAAGACTCAATTAGACTCAGACCGAAGCAAACGCAGCTACAATCAGCTATAAACATAGCTCTACTTTCGATCAAACTAATATCATTTAGGGTTTACTTTTAAATCCAAGTAATCTCCAATTGGGCCTAGTTTAAATTGAATCGAAAGCCTATAACATTCAGATCAGTATTAACAAAAGTACAACTGGAAATAGTTCAAACTTAACTCATACCGAATGACATCCACCTTGGACCAACACATACCAAACGGGACTCACATTGGACCCAACTCATGCTCAATTAATCCTATGCCAAACCCAAACGATATCTAATCAGACCCACTTTGAATTCCACTCAGATCCGATCAGGTCCAAGGAAGCTGTATCTCAGATTCTATCGAACTCCTCGCAAACTCAACCAGACTCAGTTCCGGACCTACCGCACCCTAGACGAAACCCAAGCAAGACCCAAGCGTTTGCACGAAACGACAAGCTTCAATCGAGTCCCCCGAAACCCCCGGTATCTGATTCGCTCTGCAATTCAAAGGAAGTTTCACAGCGATCCCCTTGTGTATTCAGAAGAATTTTGTCGTGAGACAGAGTCCGCGAGAGAACAGGAGCGGCGCGACGCGCGGAGAAGACGGCCCGCTCTATTTTTCATTCGGAACCCGCGAGTTGTCGGGGTTCTGTCAAGGCGGCGAGGCTGCGTCTGCATTTTAAGCGTGGATTTCAATTACAACGCCTCCCGCCCCGTGACATAATCTTGGTGGTCACGGACGACGAGGAAGCTCGATGCACTCGAGAAGGGAAAAAAGCTCGCCATCACTTACTGTCGTGCTCCCACGACGATTCCGCATCCTGAATACTTAAAAGGAGTCGCGAACCTCCTTTGAATTGTAAAGCGAACCAAAGCGATACTACCGAACTGGTTTCCATCTCGCCCTTCGCATCGCGGCGTCTTCTTTTCGGGGCGAGCGTCCTTGGTACTGAGGCAAATCCCGGCATGGATTTTAATGGCCCTTAAGGATGCCACTCTGCTTCCCTTTGATCTGTCTTACTGTAAACCGAGTAATGTCTTCGGTCCCGGGGCAATAATGATTAGAAGAAACAGACGCTGGAAAAAGATATTAGTAGCTTTGACTTTCTAAATGTGTTTCATTTTAGTATAATCAGTAGAATATAATATTAGTATAATTCAAACGTGTTTCACCTTAGTACAATCTTATTTTTTATTTTACATTTCGTGTTTATAATTCATACCAATTTCGAAGGAAAATTTTGGTAATTCATTATATGGAAGATTTTGTTTTGTTCTCGGTTTTTTTTAGTATTTGTGATTACCAGTGCGAGATTGGAAGTTAGTAGATTAGCGTATTATAATATTGATGTGGACGTCATTTAATTTCTAGAATATTTTATATATTAATTCTAACTACTAAGTAACTATAAGAAAGATTGAAGCTTCTCTTTTCAGTAGAAACTCCAAGTCACAAAGACAAATCGGAAAATCTATCCATGAGCAATCTAAGAATGAATTTCCATTAAAATGTAAATTTCCACAAAACCAACTGTCCCTCAACTTCTATTCATCGTTACGCACAAAATCATATCCCCTTGTCTTGCAAATACAACTCGCAGCAGCTCCTCGCGTATCAAGCAACGTCAGGTCATCCATCCTCAGTTACATTGATCATTCGTTCACGAGCCACAGCTTTCTTACATTCAAGCCGGATCCGCGGAATTGATATTAACGGTAACTCCAATTTAACGCGCAGCCGGAAGTACGGAGGAACCGGAATAATTTCAATTTAACTTTTTAATTGTAAGTCGACACGGTAGATAGGTCGTCCGCGGCAGCTTATACATTTTGTTGGCCCCAGGCAAACCTGAGAGCCTGACGACCGGGCCGCCGAGCGTCCTGTAATTTACCGCGAACCAAATTTAATACTGGAAAGCCATCTGTTCGTGATTTCAGCGCGGCCGTGCCTGTCGCTCCCAAGGAGAGCCACTCCGCCGTCATTATTCCCGCGGAATACCGCGGTGGCTCACGGAAATTTGAAAAATTTTCATCTTCCATCCCCAAGGAAAACCTTTTGGTTACATCGGTCCGGTAATACGGAACCTCCCCGGAGAAACGTGAAATTTTGCTTGAACCACCGCCCCTCTCTTCACATTGCTTTGTTTACTTTCGTTTTCTTAACGTGTTCTCGGAAGGGGAACGATATTTTCCTGCGGCTGTTTGTACTGGTAAATTAATGTACTTCGCGGTCGAGTTCTGGGAAGAATTTAGGATTATATTATCAGTCGTTTGAATATGACAGTTATTTTGTTGGGAACTCTGTATTGAATGGTTTTTCTTTGATTTTGTTATTCGGAAGTTGTTTTTCTTGGGAATTCTTATGATTTCCTAGAGTGAAGTGTGTTTATTCTAAGCTGAGCTGACGTTTCTTATAAGGAATGATATATGATATTTTAAGAAATATTTCTCCAGCAATTGGTCTTTTTCAAAATTTATAAATTTATTGGAACGTTGAACAACTCTCAGTGGTTCGTCCAAGTCAAAGACGTTCCAATCCACTCTAAAGCGAGCCCCATTATTCAGTTAATTCTTTTGAAAGGCTGCCTTTAACGATGCATGTCGTTTTCCTTTAGCGAAGTAGAAGGGGATCGTCTGGGTCAGACCGAGACGACTCGGAATTGGAAGAGATCTCGGATACTTCAGGATTGAAACGATTCCAATTGAATTATGTATGGAATTTTATGCGTCCTCTATAATGACTTTGATTCTAATGTCAAGCAAAGAGAAATGGAATAATTTCGACGGTTTAACGCGTCATTGTGCGCAACGCTGTGCACTGGGAAGTACACTTTGGAAAGGGTGCATCGTCGCAGAACCGCGAAAAGCAATATTTTCCCGCGGACAAGCGACACGAGCGTTGCTATATGTAACATTACCCCGGGAGCATTGTTTTATGCGTGTTTCGCCGGCCTGGGAAAAGCGTCGCAATTATGAAATTGTAAGCTCTTTGTGCCCGGCGAACATTTTTCCCCATAACGGTTCGGTCCTCTTCTTTTCATTCGTGCCGACCGGACGAAGAAAGTTACGCTTTCCTTTTACGAATTCTCATATTTTTAATGAGTACCAACGGCGCCTGTTGTTCTCCGGCCTCACAGTTCTGAACTGCCGTTGTTGTTCTCTGATTCGCGTGAAAGTTTCGAACATTCAACGATAATTGAACGGGTTACGTTTTAGACGATATGTTACGAGTGTTGAATGTACATAAGTATTAGAAAATGGATGATTGATTGGTAACGTGTTTCGACATTTGTTGGAACATGACATTATGAAATTGATGTGATGGAATATAAATGTTAAAATATAGGAGTAAAAGGAAGTTGAATTAAATATGAATATTAAAAAATAGAAGAATTGTTGGTAAAGTGGCATTGTGCAGTTGATCAATATCAATGGTAATTGAACGGTTTAAGTTTCAAAGGATGTTAAAACATAGGAGTAAAGTTAAATTGAATATAAATATTAAAATAGAAAAATGATTAGTAACGTGTGTTCTGAAATTTATTGGAAGATAACATTGTGCAATTGATGTACAAAGTACATAAATGAATTTACGTTTCAGACATGGTGATGAAACAAATATTCAATATAAATATTAAAAAACCAAAAGAATGATTGGTGACGTTTGCTTGAGTTTTCCAATTTGTTAGGAAAGGATATTGCGGAATTGACGTATCGATCAATGCTTCGAACGATGACGCCGCGCGGAGACTGTGAACGTTCAATTGTCCGTAGCAGAGTTGAAAATAAATAAAACACAATGACATGGTCGAAACTACGCACCGTGATCGGTGCTGAAAATTGCTGGCCGCTTGTTTATATACTACAGGTACCGTGATTGATAACTGCCCCGAGAAACATTGGTAAATCAACTTTTCAAAAAGTCATGAAGCTTCTTTGAAGATTTTGCGAAAGTCGAATAAAAAATTGATGGAAAACAGATGAA